AAAGAGATTGTTTTGTTTTGCGGTTTTTTTTTCTGTCTTTTCAGCAACTGGTATTTTTTTAACTTCCTTAATATTCCTCTCCATCTCTCTCTCTTCTTTTCTAACTCATGTTGTCTTTATATGTCTTTCTCTCGCTCTCTCTCCCTTCTGTTTGCCCTTTTTGTATGTCTTTCTTGGCTCTTTCCCGTCTTTTCTTCTGCAGGGATGGCCCTGTCATAACCCAAAGGTATGATTTTGTGTGCGCTTTGGCACTAGAATTATCCCCGCCAAATTACAGCTTCGTTGCACGGTAGAGTTTTCTGCTGCAGAGGAGAACCCCGGTGCAAGGAAGAGTTTCCCGCCAATTTGTGGCTTCCTTTGCAGAGTGCATTGCTCAAGTTGCAAGAGAAATGCACGGTGCAAAGGAGTTCCCGCCACCTGCATGCAAATTGGTTCCCCGCTATTGGCTAGTTCTAAAGTAATAGAGACCCTGCGTGAGATTCAGAGGAGTTTGGCGACCTGATCCATCGCCCACCTCTTCCCGTCTTCGAGCGATAATTTTATAAGACGTATCTACGAAGTTTCTATTTCGGTGGCGCGCTTGTCCAGGGCATCCGGAGCTCTGTTTCCGTGGAGCCTAGCAAACTCCACGTGATCGTTCGTGTTGTTTTTGTCTGTAACCGCAACTCAAGCAAGTTTTCCAGCCTGCACCGCAACCATCTCCGGTGTAAGTAAACAATCTTTAAATCTACTGCTACGAGTCTGTGCCTAATTCTAGCTTGACGCACCTCCTCTCTCCGACCCCGCGTGCCCGGGCTGCTGGCCACAGCCCGCGCAACGCACAAAAAAGGGCCCAGCTCGCGCCCGGCCCGCACAGGCCCCTGATGGGCTGAAGAGATAATTTACTTCCTGCTGCTTGTCATTTCAGGTGCTTTGTGTTTTTAGTACCTCAGGAGGGGAATATGGAGCAACTGGTCAATGGGTGGATTGGAGAGGGAGATACTGAGCACTGCTTTTAACAGCAGGACTAAAGAAGTGCTTCTGTCAGCTGTGGTCAAGATTCCATGCACCTTACTCTGACAACTTCTGGTTTAGTACTAGATTGCACACAAAGAGTTTGCTGCTAGGCTTTTGTGTTTGGCATTGACTCCATATGTTTCTCCAAGACAGACAAAGTTCTTTGGGTAAAACCAATATCTTTTATTAGACCAACTCAAATAAAAGATATTGGATTTACCCAAAGAACCTTGTTTAGCCTATGTCCTTAGACCAACACAGCTACAACCTACACCCTTGAAACATGGGATGCATTTCTCCAATGTTTTTATCGATATTTATTCTCCAGGAAGGCTTGGTAAGTTTAATAGGTACTGTTGGGTGTTCTAGCTGTTTTTATACTCAGTATTATCCTTAGTGTTTTACATCTCACTTAAATTTTGTCTGCCCTACCACAGTACTGCCACTCCATGTTATCTAAATACACCTAAATAAATAACCTCAAGTATTTACTGTCTATGCCCCCAACTTTTCTCTATCCTTCTTTCCTTTTCTTGCTTACTTCAAAAATCCATGATTTAAAAAGAATGAAAATTCTATAAAACCATATCTGAGTCAGAATCAGATGACTTTATTTCAACAAACTCATTGAATTGTACTAGCCATTCTGAAGATGTTATAAAGTCCTTTTTGCTGTAGAGTACATACCTAGAATCTGTACATGGGTTTTGACATTGTTTTAAATAGCAGCTTTTTCTTACCTTTATTTACAGGTTCATTAACAAATTTGACCTTTGCAGTTGGCATAGCAGTTTATGCCTTACTGGGTTACTACATAAGGCAATGGCGTTACCTTGCATTTGTATCAAATTGTCCAGGAATTTTCTTTTTTCTCCTTTCTCTGTAAGTAGATCAAACTTATTATGGATATAAAAACACAATATACAGTACTTTAACAAGAAGTCTTGCTTTTCACTGAAAGACTGTAATTGAAGTAAGGCTAACTTTCATATTTTGTTACGCTTGTCTTCCTTGAAGCATAATGCATATATGCGATAATGAAAAAGATTTTGGCTGATATTTTCAATAATAAAAAAATGCCTTTAGATTTTACCCACCGTTTAAAGAAAATGCCAAAAGATATTTTTTCTGTCCTTACCTCTTGGATAGAAATATTGACACCATTGATACAGATTCCTGAGCAGCTAGAAAACAAAATCTTTGCTTATTCATGTTCACAATGTCCCCATTTAATTAGTATTGATGCACAACAGTCTTCTAACCTCCTTTGAACTGTCTGTAAGTGAGCCAGGTATCAATCAGTAGTTTGGGGTAAAAATGGAGGAAGAAAGGGAAAAGAGCATCACAGGGGCTGTAGAGTAGTCCTCTGCAAATAGGGAAGTATTTGATTTGAACTCGGCCGATTTGGAGGACAATGAGTCGATTCGGAGATTCAGATCACTGTCCTGAATTGATTTGGCTGAATCAGCTTCGGAAGATTTGTCACTGATTCAGAGACATTCAGTGATTCGGATCAGCTGGGGAGAAGCAGGCACAGCTTGGTGGCTGCAGGTTCTCCTCCACCTCCTCCAGCTGTGCCTGCCTTTCCCCAGGCAGGGGGAGCCATGGGAGAAGCCCCCATGGTTGCCTCGCCCAGCCCCAGCCTAGCCCCAGCACTTCACACACACAAAAAAAAAGGCCCCGTACTCACCGGCTGCAGGAGCGGCGATTGGGGCCTTGGGTTGCTCGTGGTGGAACCCCCCCATGCAGCACGGGCAGTCGGGGGCAGTGGGGATTGCCCCCACCCTGCTTGGCAACCATGCGGCAGCTGCCCCATGACACGGGTGCAGAATGGCTCAGCAGGGCGCTGTGCGTTGCCTGGGAGCTGGGCCACTGGGGCTGCCCCCCCCCCCCCCCCCCCCCCCCGTCCCCCTCCCCGAGTAACGCACCCCCCAACCTTCCAGGGTAGCTTGTCCCAGCTGCAACCCCAGTTTCTCACTCCTCCATGCCCTCTCCACCTCCCCTCCCCCAACCCGCACCTCTGAATCGGCCAAATCTTTTCAGAATCTTTTTCTGAATCGATTTGGATGCTTCGAATTGATTTGGAGCTTTTACTTGGTCTCCCGATTCAATTTGGATTCAGAGATTTGGTCTCCTGATCGGTCTGAATCTCCTTCAAATCGAATTGGCTACTGAAGCTTCACACAGCCCTACGGTAGAGCTAGAGGAGAATCTGGAACTTCTCAGCTTGCTGTGACAGTTGAGCTGGCCAGTGATCAAAAGAGCAGTGTTTGCTTATAAAAGGCAGTGACAAGTCTGCAGAGAAACATGAAGGCTGCTAGAGAGCACAGGCTATAGAACTGGTCCAAAATATTCGCTTTATGCCATCAAAGGTTTTCTTCACGTAGCAGATTGTAGAAGTACCATTAAAAGTGTCAGGCAGAATTTTAAGGTTACTTTTCATAAGCCAAATGTCTGTAGTAATGTCTTGGTGGGAAATAAATGAAGTTATGAAGCATTTCAAAGTGCTTCCACTTGTGGGTGCTCTTTCTAGCTTGGCGCTGCTTGTGATTGCTTGCTTTGTTTGGAGTGACCCTAAGTCTGGCGATGAGGTATGACATATATTTGCTATTTAAACTGTTCGTAGAAATGTGATAATAGGTGGATTCCCTTAATACATATTGTTATGAGAATAGTTCTTGGATGTATGAATATGTAAAAAAGTTTGTAGCTTAGTCTGCCTAGTCACAATGTACTTCAGATTTGTAAAAAAGCAACATACACTATGCAGCAGGGATCCTGGTTTTCTCTGATCAGAAAAAAAATCTCCAATTTTCAGATTACAAAAGTAAGCCAATTGAAATGAAACATCACTTATATATATTAGTAGTGTTTCATTCTGATCATGGAATCATGTGGGTTTTGGGTTATTTTTTTTTTTATCTGAAAATTGGGAATTTTTTTTAATGGGAGAAAACTAGGATCCCTGATTATCAGTAATAAAAACTATAGATGTAAAACTACAAGCACAATCTATTTATAATACTACAAAAGCAAGCCCTAACATACTGTTTAAACATCCGTTATTTCTGCATAGGTCAGCTTTTGAAATTAGTTGCCATGCAAAAATAATGTACAAAAAAAATCAATAACCAGGTATCACCTATTTCCCCAGAGTATATATTAAGGGGCTTTTGTACATGCCACATTTTTTGCCCTTTCTTGCGCTGCAACAGCGTGACTATTTACATGAGTGGCTTTTCTGGATGCTTTAAAAGTCTTTCTGGCACGTTAAAGTAAAACTCCTCTGATGTACTTTAGTTTGGCTTGCCAGGAATTAAAGCGTCACATCCACAGATTTGTTGCGTGCAAACACAAAGGCATTCAAAGACATGCAACGAGCCTCTTAGTCCACCAGATGGTTCTTGGTCCACCAGACGGTTCTCCCGCAGCTACATTTTGCAGTTTACCCCTTCAAATTGCTTTCGCTTTCTAATTGATTCTGCTTTTTTTTTTTTCTTGTGTGGTTTGCTGGTGCCCTGCTTCCATAGCTGCGTAGTAGGGCACAGGCATGGAGGCGGTGGGAGGCCCTGGGCTGAGGTGGGGCAGCACGGAACTGTCCCGCTCTCCTGCAGCACCAGCTGGGGTCTGAGCTTAATTCGTTTGAAAACCTAGTGTGTGCAAACACAGATGTGACGCTCTAATATAAAGAAGTTTACATTTTATAAGCCTGTTTAATTTAATGAGGATTAAAACCTGTGGTGTGTACAGGCACCCTCTGAAAGCAAAAATGTTACTCTCAAGAGATATGTGTGCCACATAATTAATAGACTTTGTCTCACATTAATTAAAGAGTAGTGGAGGGACTTTGAAGTATGTAGTTTAACCTTGATAGAGCATATTTCCAACTTGTGGTGAAATAATAAATAGAACAAAACAAAGTTCAGCTAAAATATTCTTTGAATTATCTACCCTTTGTCTGTTGAATTATGTAATGACTTTTGGAATGGTATTCTGGGAGATACACTAGCAAAACCTCAAACTTGGAAAAAAGGAATCCTGAGAGAAATCAGTGGGAAGGAAAGCTACTTGTGTCACTTTCATAAGACAAATGTTAAAATGCTAGTCAATACCCATTTTAATCCAGTAAAAAAAACTTTAGGCAAACAATGAAATGGGGATGGCTCACCACTTTCCATTATTAGAAATAAAAGTAAAAGCCTGGTAAATATTTCCAGGTAGAGAGTGGTAAGTAAATTTTGCAAATAAGTGGAGATACTTTTGATTCACAATTTAGAATTATCAAAAAGCAGCAAACCAACCTTCTAGAAATAAGAGAAAGACAAGTAATAAGGCCTCAACAAATATTTAAAAATAATGTTAGTGTATTGTTGCATAATAACTAAAAAAATTATTAATCATAATTATTTTCCCAATGAAGAAAATAAGGTAATTAATTCTGATTAACATATTATTGAGAGCTTTTCTTTAAAACGTACAGTCTGAAAGATAGGACACAAGCTGGAGTAAAAATGACAGAAAGAAAATGATTTTTGTGAGGAAAAAATGCACAAGGCAAAACTAATTACAACAGTGTAGTATAATAGAAACATTTTTCTTTTCACTATAAAAAGAATGGAAAAAGAAATTGGTTGGGTGTTTTGGCCCACATGCACTTTATAGCTCCAAATTTACAACATGAGATAATTGGAAATACACTACCATTTATTGTTTGGTATTTTTGGATATTATGATGTTTATAACATGTAACCATTCATGTAACCATTCTGTATTATCACAATGTTGGCACAAATTTAAGTTTAATAATAGTGCTGTATTTGTCAATTTGACCAACTCAGTTCAGCTTTGATTTGCCTCTTTTTGAAATACATGTTATAATAATGCAGAGATTATTTCTTCATTCACCAAATTTAAATTAGAGAATTTGTTACCAATTTTGTATAAAATTGACTTTAAATGAATCGGCACTGTCAGAGCTACTAAATAAAAATGACCAATGTCATTTGTCACAAGACAAACAATTTGTATGTATAAAAAATGTGTTTTTATAGAACCTTATTAATCCTGGAAAAATAGTTTAGATTCCTTTTATTGACTTTAGTTATTCTCTAATTTTCAAAGTCTTGTTAGAAGCAGTGCTTTGTTTAGTAGGTTAACAAAAATGGTTCACATGTGGTTATATTAATATGCAACAAAGTATGATTTTCTGCTTTCGTTTTTTTAAATTGTAGATATATTTTAACACCTCAATATTATTATTTATGTTAATTTTTACTATTTAGGAATTTACATTTTTGAATATTTTGATGTTGCTATGGAACAAAGTTCAAATTTTTTTTCTGTAAGACTAATTACAAAGTACAGTTATAGGTAATTCCAAGATGAATTTTTTTTTTCCTCAGATGTGAATATTATAAAAACTGGGTGGAGGAGGAGGTTGTCAAAATCTTCTTGCAGACAAGGTTCTTTGTGTGAATCCTATCTTTTATTAGACCAACTTAAATAGTTGGAAAAAAACTTTTTAGCAAGCTTTTAGGTTTAAAAAGCCTTCATCAGGCTGAGGAAGTCTCTGCAGTTGGTGTGTCCTCTTCGTGGATGGAATGAATAGTAAAGAAGCCAGAGGCTGAGCTGGTATGCATACAAGACAGGCAGTTAGTGAAGACATAAATTGAGGAATCAGTGGGTGAGAGACAGGCATGGTGCAGGGGGACAGAAAAGAGGGATGAATGTAGCAGTTAAATAGTGGAGAGGTACCTGGGGAGTCAGATGTCAGGCAGGTTATAATGTGTCATAAATCCAGTGTCTATATTTAGTCCATGATTTTTTTTTGTATCCAGGAGGTTGATGAAGTGAGGTTCATAGGCTCATCTGTGAGAAGTGTTTTGTAAGTTCCCTATGAGAATTAGAATTGAGAGATTGGAGAGAGAGTGGTTTTCTTGTGAGAAATGTGCCCCCACAGGTAATTGGGTATTTTTGTCTTTGATAGATTTCCTGTGTGCATTCATTCTGGTGTGCAGTTGTTGTTTGGTCACTCCTACGTATTTTCCATCATGGCATTTGGTGCATTGGATGAGATATATTACATTTCTGGAGGTACAGCTGTAAACTGCAGGGATGCTGATGGCTCTGTTGTGGGGTGTAGTAATTGTGAGGATGGTGGAGAAATGTTGACAAGTTTTGCATTTCTTGTCATGGCACGGTCTGGATCCATTCAGTGTGTTCTGGGCCTGAGGAAGTTTGCTTCTGGTAATGAGGTTAGTGAGGTTTGGTGCTTGTTTGAAGGCTAGGATGGGTGGTTCGGGGAAGATCTCTTTAAGAATAGTGTCTCTTTCTAGTATGGGTTGCAATTGTTTGAGGATTTTCCGTATGGGTTTGAGGGAAGGGTGATACGTCATAGCCAGCAGTGTGTGATTCGTTGGTTTTTTTCTTCGGTACTGCAACAATTCTTCATGTGGTATCTGGGTGGCTCTTTCAAATGTGTGGGTGTTCTCCGTGTAAATTCCGTGGTATCTGAGGGCTTGGCTGTATATCACAGCTTGTATATACAGCCAAGCGCTCAGATACCACCATATTTGCACTGAGGAGAACACCTGGGATTGCCACCTCATGAATCTTAAAAAGGCTTTCATTCAACGAGGACACTCCTCCAGAGAGAGAGATCACACATTTGAACAAAGAACCTTGTCTGCCTATGTCCTTAGATCAACACAGCTACAACCCACACCCCTCAAAATCTTCTTGAATTTTAAGAACCAAATTCTGTTCTTGTTTAAATATAGCTTTAAAGTGCATTTGAGTGCAATTCCTGAAAAGGAAATTGGAATATCATATTTCAGTTTTTGCCATTCCTTAAATTAAATATTGGATGTGTATATTTAATACATGTTTACCTCCTAATGTGATGCTTTGACTTGCTGAGAAATAAGGTTGACCTAGTCTGTCATTGATAGAAATGTACTTTCTTTATCTAATTTTTATTTGGCAGTTTGCTTCCAGAATCACCCAGATGGCTGTATTCCCAGGGGAACACTATAGAAGCGGAGCGTGTACTACAATACCTAGCCCTGGGTAATGGAAAAGAAAGGTTAACTATAAAATTAAAACCATGTGCAGGTACAATGAAAACAGATGAATCAGCACCCAATGTCCTAAGCCTAGTAAAACACCCAGTCCTTCGGTGGCGAACTGTCATTTTGATGTATATCTGGTAAGTAGTAAAAAGCAAGCTAATGCTGAAGCACTGTGAATTTGTCAAATATAAGACACTGATTAATGTGTTTAGCTTCTCCCTTCATTTTTAAATAACATTCTCAAAGCTCAATTATATGTTTGACTGTTAATTCCAGGTGCTGTTTTTTTAAAACGGTATTGTGTGTTACTTCATGCTAATTGTAATAATCTTTTAATAATTTTGTGTTACTTAGATACTGATCCAAAAAACGAATTAGAAAGTAGTGGAAAACAACAACAACAAAAAAGAAAAGCAAACCCATAAATCCATGAAATTGTTTCCACTTGATATTGGCTGCATGCACACCTCTGATATTAAATTGTATTATAGGTGTAAAAAGGAGACTACTGAGAGTGAAAAGTGGAGTTGTGGGGGAGCAGTAGAGAAAAATATGAACTTACCATTTGATCATTAATTTTCACATGTTAGATACAAAGTGCAAAAACTGCAAAACAAAAGAAACCCACTTATCTTTGCAGTGAAATCTGCACTTATTGCACTCATCTTTGCAGTGGGAAGTGTTTTGGACTTTGTCTCCTTGGTTGTGTCCAGTATAGTTTAAAGCAGTCCAGATGGGGAGAGGAGTGACTCTTCTGAAAATATAAGTTCTGATTGGAACAGCAAAAGGACATCCCAGGAAGAACCCCAGTGTAGAACTCATGTCATTATCTGGCCTGTTTAAGGCAAAGACTGGCAGAGGGCATGTCCCTATTAAAGTCGAGCCTTAGATTTGAGATTACTTCTAGATATGAAACATCTGATTTTTCTAATTCTTTCCTAGATTATCAGGGATGAAAAGGGTACTTATAGGAGAGACCACGGAATCTCACTAGATAGAAGATCTTCTTGTTCCTATAGCAGCCTTATTTAATACTTAATCCCTGGAGGGAAAAAGTGTATACAGCTTGAGAGAGATTCCCAGGCAGTACTTTGTGCTGTCCTCTGGTTTTCTGCTGATGTTGTCAGTCTCCTGTGAATTTAACATAATGACCCACTTTCCTGACAAAGCTACCTCTATGCAGGTGAAGGTAGCTCTAGTGCCTGTGGTGTCCCTGAGTGGTTCTCAAACGAATACGTTAACCAGCAACTCTGGGACTGTTGTGACTTTTAGGGAATGCTGCCCCTTCTTCCCCACCCCCAAAGGTTCCCTTGTGATTCCTGCAAGGGTTTAAAAGAGCTGGTGCTTGCTGTGTAACTTGTACCCCAGAAAGGATTACTCTTGTGACTGAAAGAAGTTAAATAGTGGCATAATGTTACAGTAATATATTACAGTAAATATATCCTTAGTTATTCTATTTGTGTGGTCCAGTGGGTTGTTGGTATCTTACCCCTATTCTCTGAACTCAAGGTTAATTACATTGTCAATTGGAAGCATGTCACGGCTGCTGTGAAGCGTACGTCTTTCTGTCTCTATCTTAAAGCGAAGGCTTGCTAGCAGCCTAAAGTGTGATGGGAGCTAATCCCCAATCCCAAAATTGCATGTTTTGTTGGGCCCAGTGGACCTGACTTCCATTGTATGGGGAGCTGTATACAGACAACCCCTGCTTAGCACTCTTAATTGGTTTCAGTTGCGGCGCTCCGTGGGCTTGGCCCTGCTGTGCTCTGGGGCAGTGGACACTGCACACGTGTCCTTGAGCACTGGCTCACACTGGCCCAGGCTCTGCACTCCTGCTGGCCCTGGCCTCAGGTCTTGCACTCCTGCTGCCCAGCCAGCCCTGGCCCTGGCCCTGGCCCTGGGCGCTGGCCCAGGCCCCGCACTCAAGCCCCCTGTCTGCCCCTTCTTGCTGCCGCCACCACCACTCCAGCACCACGTGTCGGAACAGACCCCGGGCTCCTGCCACCCTGCCCTGGGCCCTACCGGCCCGGGCTCCGTGCTTATGTTGCCTGGCCCCTTGCCCACCCCTTTTCGTTGCCACCACTGCTCCTCCCCATCTGCTCCAGCACCACATGCCAGAGTGGACCCTAGGCACCTGCCACCCCGCCCTGGGCCCTGCTGGCTGCCACTCACTGCTTCACTTGACGCTGCCGCCACTGCCACCATTGCTTCTCCCCACCCCCACACTGAGCGTTATAATGAAATGTGCTGAGTGCTAAGTGAAACCAGGTAGGTATTTTTAATGAGCGCTATAGTGAAACTGCAGTAAGTGAAACGGCATGAAGCAGGGCTTGCCTGTAAACCCCATGTACCACCAGCTGGGTGGCACACATGATTTTGACAGATCCTAGCCACATGTTGAATTTATGGCATTATATGAATGCTATGGTATGATAGGCCACTGACTGTGTTATCATGCCTTAAATTGAGTTGTACATATTGCTGGGCTACTATTTAAGTGGCAATTAACCTGTTAGTATCTTAAATGTAATATGTGTTGGGGGCATTACTTAAGGCTATCCATATCAACTCTTGTCAGGATCAGTTAGGACAACTTACAGTACAAACTGTTTGTGCTACAAGGGCCACTTTTCCCTAGCGTGTTTCTTTGAAGATTTCAGGCAGGGCACATTTCCTTAGTTAATGTGTTTCTGAAAGGTGCAACTTTTTCCCCCGAGAATCCGCTGTCATCTTATGTGTACCTTCTGCTATGGCAAAATATCTTACAGTGTGAAGTCTCTCCTTTTTTCTTGAATAATATAAAATGACAAGGAGCAATGATATTAGTAATCTGAGGTTAGGTTATATGATATTTAGGTTGTTACCTCTCAGATCCATGTTCTTGGGGAACCTTGGCACAGTACGCAGCCTGTCTGACTCACAAAGAACTCTCCCCCTCCCTGCCTCTGCCTGAACAAGAACTGATTAGAGGAAGGACTTACAAAAGACAAAGATGATGCAGTGGGAGACCCACCTAAAGCCCTCCAGACAAGGGTGATAAGAGTGAAGCAACTCCTCGGTCTCATTTGCATCCAAGATGGAACCAGATGACAACTCATTTAAATGGGAGATGGAACAGGCATGCACCTTCATTAGCATTTAGGATGGAGAACAGAGATTCCAAGGCAAGGACCACACTGAATTCTGGGATCAGAAAAGCAGGGGAGCACTTCATGATGGGGAATCCTTGCTCCAAATGCTAATCAGCCCACATCTACACACACCCAGCTCAGCATTTATCAGACCAGTTCTAGTAATGACTCCTCTATTGGTATCCAAAATGCTGAATCTTTGTGTCTGTATTGTGAGCTCCCTCAGAGTAATGCCATCTATAGCCAACAGTGATCAGTTCCTATTATCCAGCATATATCCACTGTTTACCCCTAAACAAACCTAGTGTTCTCCCTTGAGCCATTGTTAGTTCTCTACAAAAACCCCTACCCAAGCTCAAGTTTCTGTCCTGGTGCTTGGATCCAAAGCTGCACCAGTTCCATTCCTTTTCTCCCTGGAATCTCTCCATTGATCGTGCTGAGGACTCTGCCTGTCTGCCAGATCCAACAACACCTGGCAGCTTTGACTGGTGGTGACACCCCAAGTTTCTGTCTTTGCGTCTCTCTCTCTGTCTCTTTCCAGGAACCTGACTTTTATTCTTTTTCTCCAGGCACAGCTTTCTAAACCTGACTTTTGCTAATCAAACAAGCTAAACTTCCCCAAAAACCTAATTGAAACTATGTAATATTGTAACTGTTTATTTGTCTCTCTCTTGCATGGCTATTATTACTGGTATCATCATAAGTTCATATACCTGGCAATAAATAACTTTTATGGTGAAGCTGGTTGCTATACTTTCTCTCTGAACCTCACCTACTCCTTCTTCCCCTTGACCTCCCCATTTGCTTTGCAGCAACACTTCTTTTACCTAAGCCACAGATTCCTGTATTGCCCAAAACTACAATGGGGTCTGCTCATCAAGGCGGTTACTACTAGGACCATTGTGACAAGAGATTGTGACATGCCGAGTTTTGAGGCGCATGAGAGTATCAGCTGAAAGTGCTGATCGGACCCAGCCTTCTCAGATGTACTCTGTTAGCATATGTGTATGTGTGTCTAACTGCATTTATTATTGTCCTAATGAACTGAGTTCAAGGCACGTGAGGGTGTCCACCTATCAATGCTGAGTCTGACTCAGATGTGCTCTGTTAACCTGTGTGCTTGTGTCTGACTGCATTTTATTGTTGTCCTGATGAACGGAGTTCAAGGCATATGAGGGTGTTAGCCTGTCAATGCAAAATAACCTGGCCTGGCTCAGGCGTATCCTGTTGATCTGTGTGTGTATGTGCGTACACGTGTTTGACTGATTTGGTGGCTGGAGGAACCCAGCCCCATTGAAACAGAGTCCTGCAAGATAGCTCCATTGGAGGTGAGGACTTGAAGAAGGGAGAGATACAGCTCCATATAGAAACACAAGTAACACAAGCGGCACATTGATAGAATTAAAGAGATCCCCAGAAACGTACCCCTAATAAATGATCACACTGCAAAGTGACGGGCAAATCTGGTAACAAGGTTTGGTCTTAATGTCTCAAAGACCTTCCCATCTGTCCTTTTAGCAAGATGGAAAGTCTTAGCAAGGTCTTGCTTTACTGAAGGCTTTAACAAGGGCTATTTTTAAAAGTTAGTTGTTTATGGAAAACTCAAATTGTACATTGAAAAAAAAGTTTTTTCTCCCACTGCCACAAGAAAAGGAAAATGTATTCAGGCTTCTGTTCTGTTCCTTCCTGCTTCTTTTTCTCACCCCCCATATACTTCTGGATGATGGAAGTCTCAATCTAATTACACAATCTAATTTCTCTCTTATGAAAATAAATTAAAGACCCTGCTCATAATTACAGAAATGTAATTATGAGCAAGAACCCACAGGATCATGTAATGGCAACAATCCACAGAACCACACAAATAGTATGATAACTAAGGATATGGCTACCGTAACAGTAGTAGTACGTTTCCCCAGGTGTTGGAAGAAGTGTATTGCTAATCAAATAGAATTTATGGTACAGCAGCTTGTTATCCATATACCAACAAGTCTGAAGTACTCTTCCACAGGAAACTGATAGTAGAGGAGACTGCTACAGATAATATGATTTAAAGGAAATTTATTAGGTAATCAGCAAAATCAGCTCTGGTTGACTCTCTTTTGGCCAGTCCAAGGCAATGTTCTGTTTTATCTTTTCTCTCTGTTTTGTGAGATTCTGAAAATAGGCAGGTAATTGTTTTAAGCTTTGTATATTGAGGTATAAGATCTAATTTCTGTTGTTATCAGTGATTAATGAGGACCAGGGATCTGGGTTTTCCATTTGCCATAGAAAAACGTGGGTTTCCCCCTTTTAAGTAGAAAAATGCGGGAAATGGTGGGTTTCCCTTTGCAGGCTGGCAGAGTTCCAGCCTGCAAGGGGCCGCTTGGGGCTGGGAGCAGCAGGAAGAGAGGGATCAGGGAGGGAGCGTCATGTGCATATGTGCACGTGCAAATGCACATGGAAGCCAGGCAGTATGGAGAGCAGCACCTGCAGCTCCCTCCAGGTAAGTCTGGGGAGGGGAGGAAGATTGAGGACCCCATGGTGAGGGAGGGAGTGGGGCAGGGCTGGAGGTGCTGCCCAGCTGGGGCGGTATATGGAGCCGAGACTAGAAGGTGCGGCTGCAGGGGCCTGGCTGGGGGAGCAGGATGGAGCCATGGGCGGCATGCCTGAGGGGCAGCAAGGAGGCCAGCTCCCTGCCACTGCATGCACTCCCAGATTTGTGCCTGGGGCAGAGGTGGATGCAGGCTGCCCACTGCAGGCTCCGAGATCCCTGCCCTGCTGCACTTCCCCTGAGACCTCTGTGGCCTAGTGGGTGGGACCTGGCATGACAGAGTGGGATGGGAAGGCTTGATGCTACCTCTGGGAGCCCCGTGCCAGCTATGCTACCATGGCGAGGTGCCCCCTGCCTGCCCAGCAGCAATGGGGGGGGGGCACAATTCTGCTGAGGCCACTGCTGCTGGGATTCATGCCACTGCTGCTGTAATCCAAAACACGGATTTTGGATTTTTTAAATCACAGAATTTGTGAATTTTTATCAGAGGTTTTGTGATTTTTAAACAGAGAAAACTAGGATCCATGATGAGATGAACCCTCAGCCTTAGCAGCTTTGACCTGAATTTTATGTTTTTTTTACATACCATTGGATATTTGGTTTTCTCATTAAA